AAAGGTCCAAAGGGGTAGGGGTAGTGGGAGGGGCAGGGGAAAGGAAAGAAGGGAAAGGAAAAATGATGAGAAATGGAAAAAATGGAAATAGGGTCTTTGTAAATAGGGAAGGGTGGAGGGGCTGAAGGGAGGGCTAGGAATGGGGAAAAAATAAGAGCCAAGATGCATCATGTAAGGGTACAAGGTCCCCATGAGAAATGTAATTGTTTTGTATACCTAAAGTGTACCAATAAGAGAATTTAAGAAAAAAAAAAAGGTTTGAATTTTCATTAGTGTATTTGTGCATACATAAATACTACATTCATCCTGAGGAGTCGGGACTAGTACATCATATGTTTTAATTTTTTCCACTTGCGTTTACTCTGCACTTTTTCTCCTTCTTAGAACTTTTCTTAAAGCACAAGTACTCAGAAAAATATGAAGCAAAAACTGTGCTGGTAAAGAAGAAAAATCTCATTGTACAATATCAACTAGAAGGAAATTCAAATGGACTGGAAACAAATAGTCATTTAACAAAAATTTATATTATTAGAAAAATCAACTCACAGAACACTGATTTATCCAGAGCATGGTGGTGACACATTTTAATGTATGAACACATTTCCTTGCTTTATAATTAACCTTTCTCTTCTCTTTCATAAATATATAACGATAGCAGTTGTAAAAAAATATTTGAAAATATGATTTGAGTGACACTGCCATATAGCAAAAAGAAAACTGGGTGGAAATATCTACCTGTATCTTTCTATCTATATAAATGACAATAAAAGAAAGGGAAAATAAATTCATCCTTACAAACACTACTGCATTCTTTCATTCATATTTTTCTCAGTATGAATTATGGTTATTCTATTTCTAAAGAGATGCTTGGTTTTAACTCTTGGTTATAAATTATATGAATGTCTTTAAGCTCTCATTGACCATCACTCCGAAGTAAATTTGGAACGAGGTGGTAGATTTACCAATTTAGCACCTACCCCTTGGTTCTGTTGTGCTTTCTCAACATCAAATCACACCTGTGACAGAGGGCGCTTTTCTGCAGAGCTTGAGGGCAGAAAATGGTCAGCTTTGTGCAAGGACTAGGAATCTGTCCAGATCCTTAAATGAAGACAGAGAGGGTAAGGTGAGCATTCCCTTGAATTATGCAGGACACAACCACTGCAAAGGCGGGAGTCACCCAGAGCCTTAGAGAAAGAGACCTCACTTCAGTAGAGGGAAGGCTAACACCTGTGAGAGATGTGAATGTGAGGATCAGAAATGAGAATGATGGAAGACCAAGCCGGAACACCACGTCCTATAGTGTCCAGCTGCAGCCGCTTATTCTTGAAGGTACTGAAAAGACTGTGGTCACAGGAAGGGCCTCCTGAGTTCAAACATGCAATTCTCAGGGAGGCAAGAACTCCATGTGACAGGAGCACGTTCAGATAAACAGCATCCGGAGGTATAAGATAAGTCATCTCGGGCCAGAGATTTAGCTCAGTGGCTCCCTGCCTGCCTGGCAAGCACAAGGTCCTGAGCTCGATTCCTGGTACCAAAAAGAAAAGTTTATTTATCTCTCCGGGTGAGCAGCTGAATGTGGACTACATGTAGCCTACGCTCATACAAGAAACCCCCAAATGATGCCTCAAGAATTGCTCCTATTCTCTCTGCCCTAGGAAGCCCCAGGAAGCGCAGTTAGTCTGACTTCTACCTGCACATCGCTCCTCGGCTTTTTGGTTAAGATCAAGTGTGATTTCTACCTGAAAAGACTCATGGCCCTCAGGACCTCAGGCTAATGGGGTTAGCAGTTAGCGTCAGTTTGCATAAGCAGCAGACCTAGAATTGAACAGGGGTCAAAAAGAGGAATCCAGGATGAGAAATGGAAAAAATGGAAATAAAGTCTTTGTAAATAGGGAAGGGTGGAGGGGGTGAAGGGAGGGCTAGGAATGGGGAAAAAATAAGAACCAAGATGCATCATGTAAGGGTACAAGTTCCCAATGAGAAATGTAATTGTGTTGTATACCTACAATGTACCAATAAAAGAATTTAAGGGAAAAAAAAAAAAAAGAAGAAAGAGGAATCCAGGGCCAGGGCTATAGTTCAATGGCACAAAGCCTACCTGGCAAGTGCAAGGCCCCGAGTTCAAAGCAAGGAATCCAAATTTTATGAGAGGATGCCAGCTAGCAGAAAGATCCTCCCAGAAAAGACTTCTCACTTTGAGGCTCCTGTCAGAGCTGGCAGGCTAAAGAGCCTATTTCTACGTGGAGGTCTCAGGAAGCAGAGTCCAGCTGTGGTGGGCAGTTAGTTCCCTAGTCAAGCAGAAGAAGGGCTTTGAGTAAAACGTGGGTCACGGGGAAGAACCGGCCTACTACTGAGAGGACCTGTGCCCGGATGTGCAGGCTCCTCAAGTCCTGTTCCTGCTCTGAGTCTAGTGATGCTGTGGTCGCGGGAGCCTGTGGGTATGCAGGGATTTCTTCTTCAGTGACTGAGGGAAGCGTGCGGTTAGATTGGAGGCTGTGTGCCTCAGGAGTGTAGAATGAGGAATTCCAGGCTTTGCTGGCTATCAAGGCGAGATCTGGGGAGTTCTGAATCACTCCGAAACAGTGAGGTCCCTTTAAGGATTCACCCCTGATGACAGCCCTGGAGACCCCATGCACGTGTGGCCGGATGTGGACCACCCTCACTTCCTGCACTTGCACAGGCATCTGCCGAGCCGCTTCGTGAGCGGCGCAGAGCGGCCCGGAGCGGCTGGGCGGCTGGCTTTCTGCAGCTCCAGGTGAATTCCTAGGGTTGGTCTGAGGTCACTTTAGGGTTCCTAAATGTGGACTGAAGCGATTCTTCCTCTCTTAATCAAAGGGGCTGCGGGTTGGGTTTGGTGTAGCTCAAGTCTAATCCGGGAAACTCGGAGGCAGAGGCAGGAGGGTGACAATTTTGACGTCAGCCCGGGAATTTATGGGCTTCGCGAGGCAAATATAAAATAAGAAGGGCCGTGGAGGAAGCTGAGTGCCGAAACTCCGTGTTCAGTCCCGCTGCGTGGGGAAAGAAGTGGGTGGGGGAGGGGAGTGCGTTCCGCCCGCCCGTGGAGCGGGTGGAGCGGCCGCTCTTGCCGGGTAAAGGAATGGTATGGAGGTTTTCCTAGAAAGGCTCCGGGGAAGAGCGGCCTTGTGCTTAGGAAGCAACCTGAGTGTACATGGAGGGGAGACCTGGGCCTTATCTTTTCTGCTTTTTTTTTCTCTTTTCTTTTATTTCCAAATGGAGATTCAATCCAAGGCCATCCCCCTGGATTCCATCCTCAGACTTTATAGTTTGTGTTTTGAGACAAGGTCTTCCCCAGTCTTTTAAGTTGTCGAGGCTGGGCTGGAAATTGCAGCGGTCTAAAGGAGTTGAGGCCTACACCCGAGGCCCTCGTAGTTTGTTAAGAAAAGGGGGACCATGCTAGTGTCTGCAACCTGAGATGACCTCTCCTGACCACCGACATTGGTCCGAGACAGAGGAGGTCCCTGTCTGAGGTAGCTGGGCCATAGCAAGAGGAGTGGTTAGATTCTTAGGGATGAGAGGACGTGCATCCGAAAGAAGAGGATGTGTTTGAACACCACCATTACTGCAAGTCTCAGACACGTTGACATGCTGAGGCAGTCCCCGTGGCAGGAACATTTCCAGCCTTATAGAGCACAGGAAAGGGCCACCAGCTTAGCCTTCTCCGTTATTTCTGTGTGTGTGTGTCTGTGTTTGTACCCGCTTATTTAATTTGGTTTTTTGTTTGTTTGTTTGTTTGTTTGTTTGTTTGCTGGCTAGGAGATTTTACCCAGAGGGATCACAAGGAAATAAATCTCTAGGCCATTTTTTTGTTTTCTGTTTTGAAGCAAGATTTCACCTCATTCCTTCGTGACTCTGTTAAACTAGAACTTGCCATCCTCTTGCTTCAACCTCGCTTCATTATTTTGTCCTAAAGGAGGTGAGCCTTTTAGTGTAAGGGTGCAGCGACCACAGTACAAGGTTTGGTTCCAAGACTTCTGTGGAGCCAGAGTGAAGGGCTTCAGGAGGATAGAGCCCAAATCAGAAAGGATTCTATCTTCTGCATTCTTAGCAGAGTAGGAGACTGAAGATCCCTTTCAGTTTCTTCTCTGGCTAGCAAGCAGCTTTGAGTTGTCAGTTTCAGAGTAGCAACAGGGAGTGGCCCAGGGCCTGGAAGGATCGACTGTGAGAATCTGGAAAACATAGAGGATCTCAGGCAACAAAAGACAGGAGTCCTCGCTGCCACACTGCCAGTGCCTCCTGTCACCCTACGTAGAACGAGGCAGGACTGAAAAGGTGCAGACTAAGTTCCATGCTCAGGATTTAATAGGATCGTCTGTGGGACCTTAGAGAACAGGATGACCAAGAGAACAGATCCCCGTGTTGTGCATTCCTACCACACCACCCTCATGGAAATCAGTAGGGGAGCCACATTTAAAAAAGTCACTGTGGTCTGTCCCTTCCGTGGGTGCTCACAGTATCTCATTCTCCTGGCTGCAGGCATCCCAGTCTCCTGTCATCGTGTCCTCATCCCTGCCTACTGTTCCTGACCGTAGCTGTTTTAACCTGGGAAAGGAGAGTAAGCTCCGTGCGGGTCAGCAACGCCGCCGGGCCCAAGGTGAGACTCAGGTTCTCAGAGATGCTCGGGCCACTTCCTCACAGGCTTTTTACCATTGTAGTAATGGGGTGCTCTCCCCGCATCCCCAGTGGACCTCGCACTATGTCTTTTGCTTTCCACTCTCTCTCTGCTCACCCTAGCCGCATGTGGACATGCAGAGGCCCACACTGCCCTCCCGCACACTCATGTCCTCTCCATCTGCAGCATGGGCGTGGCTGCCCTCTCCTCAGCACAGGATCCTCATCTGCAGTTCTCACATGCTTTTTCTTCTTGCTGACTCCAGTCCCTGCCTCTCTCCCCTTTTAGCCCTGTGTCCAGGTGTCCTGTGAGGTGGAGACTTTCCAACACCTTCTCCCCGGGACCGCCTTCGTATGGGAGAACTTGGGGGATTTCTGTTTTTTGTTATCCATGTTTCATTCTTTTGAAATTCTTGGCTCATATGGTTGTGTACAATCCTTCAGCAAATGTAAGCAGCCTGGCTAGCTCCGCTTTGATCTGTGGCCTCTGCTCAGCAACATGCCCTGCGATGCTCTTCAGTCGTGCGTCTCCCTTTGCTCAATCTCAGCCAAATCTACTGAAGATGTATAGCGTCATTCCCTTAAATATGACACACTCAAGGTTTCCTGATAGGAGTTGTTGCTTTGAATTTTTTTTCTTTTTTTTTTTTTTGTAGCGGGGATGGACCTGGGGACCTTGCGCTTGTGAGGCAGGCAGTGGCACCACTGGGCTATATCTCCAGCCCTAGCTGTTGCTTTGAAAAACAGGGAATAATTTGTTTCTGGGGTTTGCAGTCACTGTGTTCGCACATTAGATAATGTTTGTTTGAGCCTGGTGTGTGTGAGCTCATCTGGTTACCAGGGGCTCAGGCCTTGAGAAAAAATCCGACCATAGCTTTTGAAACAGAATAGTCAGGCACATAAGAAACAAGAGTGTACTTCCATTTCTTCCCTCTCATTCTTGGGGGTTTTATCCAACATTTAATCAACATATATTCTTTAACACTTTTGTGGTATTGAGATGGAATTCAGGAAGCTACATCCACGAAGCTTTTCAATTTTTTTTTTTTTTTAATTTTGGGATCGAGTTTGGCTAAGTTGCCCAGTTTGGCCGTGAACTTAAATTCCTCCTGCCTCAGCCTCACAAGCTGCTCCCAGCTATAGAACATTTACTACAGTGAACCTTTGGTAGTGAATCCTTGCAGGTTTTTTTTTATTTTGGGAGAAGCTTTTCTTACTCTTAGTTTCTGAAGATGTATTCACTGGATATAGTATGCTACATTAAGCTTTCTTCTGTTTCAAAATTTATAGGTATTAACATGGTCTTTTATCTTGTATTGTTTTGGAAAGACAGTCTCCTGTCATCTCCATCTATCTCACGTCTTCTAAGCAATTTGACTTCAAAGTGTCTTACAGTTTTCTTTACATTTCTTTTTGGAGGGCTCTTTTAGCATCTTGGATCAATGAATTTATAGTTCTCATTGAATTTGGGATGAGCTTATGTCTAATCCCTTTTTTCCCCATATTCCAGAGATCACTGTCCTTCCTTTCTGAATGCCAGATGACTTAAACACTTTGTTTTTTGTGTTTAACCTGTTTTTAGTACTGGTGTTGGTTCTGATGTAATAGGTAAACTGGTTCCTGTCACTCTATCTAGGCTGGAAGCAGAAGTTCTTCTACATTAAGACTTTGGGATTAAAGTACATTTTAAGACTTTATGCTTATGTGAAGTTTAGTTTATGTTTTGCTCACAGTGTGTATACTAAGGACATAACAGTGTTCAAAAGAATTAGCAGCTCTTAAAAGTTATTGTTTGTAAATTGCCCTTTTTAAAATTCTTGTGCCATCTCAGTGGTTCAGGCCCTTGCTGGCTTATCTCCTGCAATATTTGACTCCTGGTTTTCACGTTTTCAGAATGTGAGACTCCATTTAATCTATTACAACAGATGGCAAATAGCAGGAAGGCTGACATCACTAGAGTGGAGACTGGATATGAAACAGACATTAACTCAGCTACTTAAAGCTCTGTAGGTGTGGATATGAAAGATATTTGTCAAGTCTAAGCGGAATGCCCCACCATAATTACTGCCTGTCCAGATGAATTCAACATCAGTCCATTTCTCAATCGGTGAAATATGTCACCCTTTAGAGGTAGAAGGAAATAATTAGGTCTAGCATTGTTTGCATTCTGCCACTCTTCATATTTTGTCACGTGGAACACTGGGTCAAGCCCTTGAGATAATAGTAAAATAATATAAATGTACTGTCTCACTCCAGCTTCCTAGCAAATTTATTTGTGCAGTGATGTCCTACATACTAAGATACTGTGGGAAACAAGTTCTGATACCATACTATGCTATACAGCTAGGAAATTCTGTCTTTTTAAATTTAGTGGCGTGTGTCCTTTATGTCCAAGATTTCTAAGAAAATTAACAAGTTAGTCAAATGTGGAGGATGGCATGGAACTTGGATAATCTGTCTTGAAAATTTTTGATGATCTTCCTCTGAATGGTGTTCAAAAAGTACTAAGCAAATGGCATACCTCATAGTGTTATATAAAAGAAAATATATGTTATGTTGTTCATTGTCCTAATGACTTTCCAAATGAGGATTGTTCATTCAAAAAATTTATAGCCAGTACCCCCTGTGTGTCTTCTCTATGACTCTATAGACTATTCATTCTGTAAAAGCACAAAATTTTAATAGGTGCATTGCCTTTTTTATTGAGACTCCTTCAGATGTTCACAATATGGTCTAGAGCTTAGGGTATCCAGTACCAATACCACAAATGAGGGCCTTATGAAACACTTGTAGTTATTCAGACCTGAAATATTTTATAAGTATGAGGTACATTTCCCGTGTCAAATACCTAATAAAAAGGATAGGTGTCTAAAATATCTCATAAGTAACATGTATGATTAAAGTTATTTTCACGTTTCTCTTTTTTTAATGTAGCTAGTAGATAGTTTATGATTATAAGTGTAGCTCACACTATATTTTTCCTGGAAGTCTGTGGTCTAGAATTTATTTGTCCCCCAAACTGTTGGCTAAATTTTCTCAAAGAACAATGAGTCAATAATGTTTTCAGTGCCATTTATATTATCAAGACATTTCTAGCACTGGTAAATATTAATTCATAGCAGAGTTCATTCTTTCTCCATCATCCTCATCAGCACGGAGGGATTCCCCTCGGGCTCTAAATCTTTATGATGCAATTATTCAAATATTCCTCCAAATTGCAAAGTTCCAAGAGATGGAAAATTTACTGTGTTCTGAATTAGTTAATGAAAGAAAGATGGAAAGAAGGAAGGAGGTTTTAATGTACAAATATTTTTAAAAGTTCCTCCACACTAATAAATGTAGGAATAAATATCATTCTTTCATCAAAAATGTGAAAGATTTTTAAAATAATGATATCTATGACTAGGGAAAGGCTAAATTGAGCTCCTCACTATATACAGAGAGGTTTTGAAGAGTATCCTTCAGAGTTTTTCAGGTCACTCTCCTTTTGGAAATTTAGACTAAGAAAATAGCAAGAGGTGCAAACAAAGATTAGTATATGAGGAAAATTGTGCTGACCAAGCATTAACCACAGCCAAGGGCTCTGGGAATCTATGGCAGGTAGGGGCCTGCTGCTGACAGGCACATCTGTAGAGCTATGTAGATCATTCCTTGTTAACAGAAATAACTAGGGGACACACTGAAAGTGCCATGATTCCTGCCTGGCCAAGAAAGATAACTATCACCTTAATCTGGATGCAGACGTAGTTCTTAGTCCACTCCTTGGGATAAGGTGGTGATATCAGGGAAACTTTAGACTTCATGTGTAAAAGATGTTCTTCAACCAAATCATATGTCGATATGCAGGTAGATGTTATTTTAGTGACTGAAATATACAATGATAGGTAGAATTATGAACCCAAGCCCTTCACCCTTCTCTGTACCTCAGTTCTGAATCCCAGAGCCATGTCATGAGCAGATTGTCCTTCCACACTTACAACCTTTGGGTTCAGTGATGAGGCTTGGCTTTGGCCAATCATGACTGAACCAAAGGTTTACAGTTTTCTTCTACATTGAGCTGTGCTTGAAAACATTTGCCACTACCATTAGATAAAGTTCCAAGCAGTCATCTGATCTGAGCCCATCTATAGTGTGATCCAGAGCCACAACGGCTGGTGCACGGACACTGCCCACAAATGGTTGTTGTGTTGACTTGCTGAGTTTGTGGCTGTTCCATTAGTCAGGAGAAGTGAGCTAGTAAAAGCATTAAGGTCTAGCAGTGCTTACACACTGTTCATGTCTTAGTTTTATTATGCTCTTGTTTGTCTTTCATGGGAAGCAAATATCATTTTTAAATATATTTAAATGTTAGGAAAAACAAATGTTAAAAGCTTCGGGACATCCCAATTGTAGATGCCATGGACATCATAAAATGGGAAAAATTAGAAGTAATTTACAAAATGCAGTTAATGATGTTTTATTTCACCAATGAAATGTAGAAATTTAAATATTAAGCCACTGCCACTCTCACATTGGCACATGTAATGGTTTCAATGACTGGTCCTTTTAGGTTCTCATGCTGAAGATTTTCCCCCTTCTGTGATATTACGAGTATGAAAATTTAGGTGAATAAGATTTGATAAAGTCATCATGATGAAGCCTCCATGATTGCAGTGCGGTGGCTTTGTAAGGACAAAGAAAGAGATAAGCCAGAAAATACATACACATTCACCTCTATGCTCCAGGTCTCCGGCCATGTGGTGCCCTGTGCTGCCTCAGAACTCTAGAAGCAAGAATGCCCTCACCAAATATGTCCCACAGACTTTCATTTAAGCTATGAGCCAAAATAAACCTCTTGGGTCGACAGATTCCCCGTTTTATACTATGGTGTATTAGCAACAGTAAATAGTCTAAGAGCTGTGTCAACAAACAAAAGTATTCCAGTCTATAAAATCCTGAGAGTTCACCTTTTTTTTTGTGCAGTGCACGGGACTTGTTTATTCT